CCTGTATTGGAAAGTGCTTTGGTGCTCGGCCCGAACGGCCTCAATAGACGAAGCGGAACTACCTCGCACGAGACGAGTGGATCTCTTTTTGTCCGTCGTCCACTGCATACGTTTGCGTCTCATACGGTTCCTGTTCTTTTCAATCTTTCTCTCAGTTTGTCATATTCTCATCGCTCTTGTCAGTTTGTCCATGAAAGCGAAGCAGCAGCAGCTGCTGCTGCAATTGTCGCAGCAACGAATCCACGAAGAATTCACTTTGGCCGTAGTCATCACTGTACCAGTGTCTCGATTGCCAAACACAGTGAGACAGTAAGTTGGGAAAGCGTTGGCGAACGGTAGAAGGAAAGAGTCTTGGACTTTGAACGGATGCACAAGGCTATGGGACGACCGGTGGTGAGATGACCGAAGCAACGGAAATGACAAAACTATCGCCAAGAAAAACGAGTCCCTTCTAGTTGAGGAAAGGAAACAACGAGCGATAGCGGCTGATGGATGAAAAGTGGGCGTTTAGTTCATTCGTCTGGTAAACCGCTAACTACAGGCCGCCAAGCATTGTGTTTTTATTGGAAAATTTCTCGTATTGGCATTTGCCGAGAGGATGAATTCAGAGTAGATTTTTATAAGTACCATTGGGATCCATAAGACGACTTTGAAGAATTTCATAAAGATTAGTGGAAAAAGGCGTAAAATCAATACATCTGCTTTGCTGAACCTTTATTATGTATCTGTGCATAGACTGGCAAAAAAAAAATCAGCTTCATATAAAGTTCAAAATACCCTACTAGGCTGAGCTAAAGAAGGTTGCCCTTGTAGACTTTTATGACAATACTCACGCGAGGAATGTTCGACAAATCGCCAGTTGTATAAGAATATGATTCTTTTCTGAGTTTAAACTCCCATCTGATGCGAATCTTTGTATAAAAACCATGAAAGGGTTAGAGTGCCTATTCTCTATAGTTATTTTCGCCTGCCTTTATATATGATCCCTGCAGGCATTGTTACCATATGGCGCAACGTGTGTTATAGTTGAGGATAAGGCACGGAAAAATTTCACAGTCTTTCCCTTCTTATAGTATATGGGCACCTACCGAATTGGTGTTCCAGCTTTGCTTGTCTATTTGATTGCCCCCACGGTCTATGCTAAACGCTGTTTCCGTAGCGCCAGGAATTTCGCTTTCGTTGAAGCTCTCCAGCGCAAGCTGGCGCAATCGGCTAAGTTTTTGCGCTTATCGCCTTCCGTCAGCTTTTGTCAGGTCTTCCAAGGCCGATGGCGCACATAATCCGCACATAAGCGCGAACGAAGACCTAAGAATGGTACTCACACAAGGGAAGGGTTCTTACATGGTAGCCGATGCGTTTATTCTGTGGTGCAAAATATGTGTTTGTAGTGTAGTGCATTTATATAGATTTCTCGCTAAGCTGTGTAAGTGGATAAGTTGATTTTCTTTAGTTAGTAATAATATAATGCTATGTGATGTGGCTTACTACTTGTAAAAGATACTAGCTCAGTATTTATAACAGTACTTTTAGTACAATGTAGCCTTATCTATGTGTATTTCTATATCCACGACGTTATTTTTCTACATTTAACACGCTTTTGTCTGTTACGTCGAAGCTCATATTGATCATTAACATATATATGAATAGTGAAGTAACTGTTGAAAACATAAATGACGGGCGGTGTCTCGAGCAGAACGGAGGGTCTTGGACCGGAAACGGTAGGACCCTTCAAAACCGAGAAGTTTCGCCAAGTCGATCCTGGCCTGGCTGGGAAAGCAACCCACCCCAATTTAGAAGCGTTCTTTCTCTGATCATGCCAGCCTAATCCTAGACGCACGGTAACGAGAAAGGTAATACGCCTTTTCTATATGCAGGTGGTAGGCCAACGCACCTCTCCAACATAGACTTCATCCCAGTGGGACTGCCAACTGGCTGCAGCGGAAAACTGACTGTTGGGAACTTTTTGTTAATCGATATCGTGTTTCGAACCATACATGCGCCCCGTAAAGGTAGCAGTGATGGCTCTGCCACACCCTCTTGGCTACTGGCGGCGTAAATGTTGCGGTGGAACTGCCGCAACCAGAACAGATTTGTCGAAGGGCTGTCGCTATGAGGCTGTAATACAGTTTGTAGAATGGATAATCTCAACGGCAAAACCGAATCTGATATTTTTATAAAAACTGCCGAACTGTGATAAAAATTATAATGCAAATCGAACAGTGTGTACACGTATTTACGTGTTCTTACAAATATAAAACATGACACTGGATCAATATTCAACAACTGAAACTTCTGTTTCAGTTGAAAGCAGCTTAACGTTTGTCATGCATTAACTTGACAAAACTTCTTCGATGAAACGAAATGGAAATTTGCATCAGGCTAACCTCAGCCAGGACCAGGCTAGCAATACCTTTTCCTACTATGCATCAGCTACCGTTCTAGGTAATAATCGAACGTGTCTGTTATAGTAGTTGTGTTTTACGGGCGAAATTTTTTGACTTTTATACATCTGTTGCGCGACGAGAAACTTTCGTACTAAAGATGTACTATATATATGGCAGATTTATAAGTTCTTCTGGCAACAACTACAACCGACTAATTTCGAAACACTTTGATACCCACGAGTCAATCCGGCAACAAACATGCCGCATAGTAACAATAGGTGCGTATGTTGATGTAATTTCACTCGAGATTAATGGTAGCAACAAAACCTGTCGAACATCTCTGAGGATTTCGGATACTTCTTTTACCTATTTTATTTTCGTGTGTAACCAATTTGTCCTTTTACTAGTGACGAACTTTCAGTTCTCGTAAATCTTTTCTACTCGTTTGATCTATAATCAGCCACTGGCCTTCACTCACCTGCTGCTCCGTAGAAGCGCGTTATTGTTCATTTTTATTGACTATTTTTGGAATTTTGTCCGCTAAGTTGTCGACAACACAGTCATGCAAAACAGAAAGGGCCAATGTACTCCGACACAAGCTTTTACAGTGCCTTGTCTCTGCTTAAAAAAGAAAATGCGGCTTCGATTGGGTCATTTGAGTTACCAAGCTTCACTGAGAGCCGATGTGATCAATACCCGACTCAGCCGTTCGTTGATACATTCGGTACCAGATTTTGTCGCTGTCCACAGCAACGGGAACGATAAAATTGCATGTATATCATCTTCAGAGTAAAGCACTTCAATATACAACATCGAGCGCGTAAAGTTCACCCTAAGAAGGATCTAAAACCGTATGTGTACGTTAGTACCCGCACTAGAAAACCGGCAGCAATTTACACTGCGCAATAGCTGTGTTATCCTGCGCTCGAGACGAACATCGAATGAATTAGTTATAGGCCATTTTGCATATATTTAATAGAATACAGCGGCAGCTGATTCGGCCAGAGGGAAATCATCTGTGATCTTTTTCTCTACCCATCGGCTTTAGATCGCCGCGTTTTATGTTCCACGCCGGACAATTCTACGAGATCGAACTAGCTCGATGTGACTAGCTTGGATGGAGATTTTCATTGTCGGTTAGAGACAAACTTTGTAAATTATTCCAAGCCCAGGCTATAGATTACGGGCCTAGCAGCTTATCCAGCAATAGGCCAAGCGTCCATCGTCTTCGAGTATTTGACGATAATAAACAGACAGGTAAATGTTGATTAGGATATTCTCAAAGATTATGTACATTAGGCGTAACATGGACATGTTCCTCTTGAACTTTGATCTAAACCATTCGTTCTTCATTTTTTCATGTTCTATTTCAATAATAATACTAACGAAAATTCGATTTAATTCGTAGTCGCTGTTATTATTACCATCAGTTACTGGTAGCACCCGAAAGCACCCAACCAGCATTCCGGTTCCAAAAAGATGCTTACCATGACAATCCAATAGATGGCGCTTGATCAAAGGTTTTTCCAAACCCGAGCATATATATACGCGTACGCATATTGCGCTTTATTAGAAAGCAACTAATAGGGTTGTTCCAGTGGATTCGCTGCCGATACGAGCGGCTCAAAAAAGGCACGACCTGCTACATAGGAACAGTTTTATTATATGAGCGATTAGCATTAAGGCCTGAGGATCTCCAGAATCTCGAATGAAACATCGTCAACAAGCGTGTATCGCACATGCATCGCGGGCATCAATGATACCATTGAAAGAAATAAAGGATGAGCTGTGGACTAGGGCAATGAAGACCAAATCAGTTTGGCGGTCCATCTAAATTTGTCCACTTAACCGCCACTTCAAGATTTTACTATATTTAGAAAGAAAATCGGTTAGCAGAGGATCCAGATTCTCAAAAGCTGCACCAGGTCATCGATGTGTGGTACTAATAGCAGCTAATATATTATACCGAATCTGACTTACGTTTGATTTAATCAGTCTGGTCATAAAATTGACTGCCGTGGGTACGTAGCTCCTCGATATCTGTTGTTAGATTGATTTAGACATTCGGTATCAGCTAGATCACTGTGCGTGCTAGATTATATTAATCTAGCACGCACAACACCACTCCATATTCTAATTATTATGCGCCATCCTAATTATAATTTTGAAAAATCCATATGCACTAAAAAACGTCAACCAGCGAACTTTGCGGTACATTTTGTTTCCGTTATTTTCCTTTATATAATGCAATAAGGTAAATCGGACCGTTAGTTATTTATGCGCAGCAGGTGTGGCTGTCCCCTAACAGAATATGATGATTAATCAAATAACTTCAAAAAAACTACGCTGTCGGTATCGCAGAGTTTGTTCAGACCTTCTGCAGGCCCGACCGCTTCGAAGCTTTTATAATAGATCTAATAAAGACGTCGAATGACACTGGTGTGAACTGCGAAACAATACTTTCCGTAAAAGCTCATTAAAGTGCTCCGTAAAGAAACTGTACCTTATTAACTATCAGATACTAGAAAAATTATTTAATCCAAAGGAGGATTTTTTTTTTTAGTATCTGATAGTTTATCCAACGAAACAATGACACCAAAGTTCTCTTAACGCTTTTAGGTTTTAATATCGAAATTCTCGTAGTGTTCTTTTCGTCTAAACGCCGGCCAACAGCTGACATCTGCTGTCAATCTGTATGCTATAGGCCCTTTAGGTTTGTTAGCAGTGCTCAGTCACATACGTCTTGCGTGAAAAGAGAGGTAGAGACAGGGGGTCGCAGAAATGCTTCGCTAAGCCTGCTGTCGAAGTTCCTTCTTCTGCTGCTACGTGGTAGCCACTGATCGAATTACCTTGATTTCCTGCGGCCGTTCACTGCGCGGGGCAGTTTACGCCTAGACAAATGGATACTGGTGTATCTATGTCTTTTAGGGGTCTGCTTCGTGAAACTACCAGCTTACAGAGTTATGTTCAAGAGAGACAAGAAATGAATCTGGCAAGAACAAGATGGATCCAAATGGACGAAAGCGAAACAAAAAGAAATGGCGTCGTGCTATCTAAAGAGAGAAAAGAGACCTGGATAGGCAAGAAAACACAACATGTTTGGGGGTAACGTGTTCGGTTTGTGTTAAAAATCTTAAAAACGCCCCTCCGTAAGACATCGATGTAAACTAGGAAAGTACTTTTTTTTCCAATGGGTTTTTCGGTAATCGTTGTAGATTTTGAAAGCAAGCATTCAAATAGATGCAGAAGTTTTTCTAGTCTCTTTATAGCACCGCATAAGAACATCAATTGGATAATAAAGAGTTGGGCTTTTAATTTTGCCGTCTTAAGCACCAAAAACGGCGTTTTTCTAGAAAGACAGTTAAACACTTCGTAGGTTCATTAACGATTCCGCCCTGCGAACTTCTCGAGCAACCTTACCTCTGGATGGGATATTGAAAGTTAAAGTCTGCTTCATCTTCGAATAGCAGGATAAACGCAATATGGTAACGGGGATTGTGTCGCAGGGTGGCAAAGCAGTTTCAGCCCGATTGCGTTCAAACGAAGTGTAATAGTTTGCTCGCTTCATTTAAACGGACAAAGCGGAATTGCTCCTAATGCCGTCTGGTGAGTATGTGTACAAAAGCGACATATTTATGGACCTGGTTTATATGCTGTATTTTACTTTGCATGATATCTATGCAGTTTAAAACTTGCTCGATATAATAAGTAGTAAGCCCTGTAAACGGGTCTTTTTCTTATAAGTAGTGTTTCGTTCAGGCGGTATCTCCTTCTGAAGCTCGCTTCCAACGATGACCACTTGATCCTTTGGTGCCTTGCCTCCCTAGGCACTCAATACATAATATGATTTTATAGCTCGCTTTTTTGGTTGAGTCCGGAGCAGATCTCCAAGATTTAGCCTTCTCCTTGACAGCCGGTTACTAGCTTCAGTCGAAAGACTGCTTTTTTTTCATTGAGTCTTTCGTCGTCCACGGCAATACGTGTACATGAGGATGTGGTCTTTTTTGCTTCTGATCGAAGTTATGATAGAAAAATGCTCAGACCTGTTTGCTTACTTCCGAAGGCCGCAAAATGCCCTTGGCTTACCGCTTTTGGTTGTCGTCGGGTGGGACTTCCCCTCGAACCTCGGATCGCGCTTGACTTGACCCACGGGACATTGACCACACCTGAACGCTTGCGCGTGAGGATAATTAATGAAGGGGTTAATTGATTATTAGTGAAACCACGATCAAAGAGGCCGTGATTATTCATGTTGTCGGTATTGCGCCGGTCGAAGGGAAAAATAGAAAGCAGTAGGGTGGGCACAAGTAATATTTAATCGAGTCCATATTATAATTACGCTATATACGCAGGGTTACGTTAGTTCCTACTTGCTTGTTTACATTTTTATCAATTCAAAAGATTCGCTAGCGAGGATGTTATAAAAAACACAGCTCACACCGATCAATTAATAAGCGAATTTGTACGAGCCACGTAACTACGCCGCTCAATGCTGTTCTTCCGTTTATAGATACTACTATTAGACATTGTCTTATTACTGCATTAACATTTACCTGAAGTGCCTCAGCAGTCGTAGGAGCTCAGCCGATTAGCAGTACCGCCTTCCATCCGCTGCAGTGAAAATGATTTCGCGACACCTCAGCGAACGTATAAACATGTCTCAGCCATAACCGCTAATCCGATATTGCGTATGTTAATTTGGTATGCCGCTTCTTCAGTCGAATGCTCAAAGGCGTCAACGAACCGGCAATCCTGACGAACACTTAAACCCTCTTCCAGTCACATTCAGCCATGGGTTTTGGCCACCGGGTTTAGTTGTGGCAGCCGCCACCGCCGTTGCTGCTACTGCAATATTTATGCGGTCCTTGTTTTATTTTCGCAATCCACTGCATCTGTCGGTTTTTCTGTTTACAGATACGAGAGAACTAGCATCGGTTCGACTACTATCTAGACAATAAGCTTTCCGGTTGATCGTTATTTGTAAAAATGACCTGCTCGTGGTAAGCTAATAAACAATAGATCGCACTTTTATTCGTTCGTGCCCACTGCACATCTAACGTGATCAACGTTCGACAAGACTATAAACAAGCGCATCTTTACTGCACATAAATGATTGTAGTTAATACTGTACCCTTGCACGTACGTGCAGTTCACGTGTGTGCGAGTGCTTAATTAGAAACGACCGATGTTGAACGTGCTGTAAACGGTACCAATTGGTTGAAGCTAAAAGTTGTTGAAAAAGGTGTCGAGGAATGCGCGTCAAAATGCACTCCAGATGGACTAAGACGGCGGAACGGAAAACTATCAGACAGTGATTAGAGACGTATTGATGACTGCTTATAAATGCTTAGAAAACATTTCCTTCTTGAAATACTGAATATTATACACAAAGTCGAGTTGGATATAAAGAAATTAGCTTTTGCATTAGCATTACACACGAATGCATTAGTATTTCCATAAACTAGCACAATCTTTCCTGATAAAACTGCCGTTCATCCACTCCATTTCTCTTAAACCATCTAACTTCCATGGAATCATTCTATTCTAGGGCTTATTTTAACCTTGCTGCTTTGCCATCGTTGATTTATTGCACCCATCCATTTGTGATTTCAAGTTTCCCTGACAAGCGATTCCACGTTACCGTGTGAGTGCTTAGTTAAGACAACCATCATCGTCTATCTAGGTGGAAAACAATCTGCTCCTATCGTAGCTTCTCTTATCATTGGTGCTACTGAGAACATCTTCGCGAGACTCCCCTTTTTTCCAATTAAATATATGATATTGCGCTGCAGACCCCAAGGTCATTGTTAACGATTTTGACAGACGGGGACTGCAACATGTCATATCTGCATCGATGAAACTCTTTCTGTAAAACTCAGCGGAACCGTCAACACGAACTCAATCGATTATCCATTGCGCTGGGTCTTAGAAATGGGAACCGAGCTAATGTACATGCTGTCGCGCTACGCGAGTCTGCCTGGCTGGCCACTTCTCTTTCCAAACAGTAGTTATTTCTCTATTATACAATTCCTATAGAACACGTCCACGACGTTTACGCTGCACTTACTTATATAACATATATATAAATACATATATGTAATATGTGACAATATAGTAATGCTAGAAGTGATAAGTGACACTGTCCTTGTTGACTGATGAGGTCTTCCGAATTTTGCGGTGGCGGTCAATACATGAAAACAATTTCCGTGAGCTCGTCCTGCATGTTATTTGTATCCTTTGAATTCATTTTCGTCTGCTTTTGTTTGCTTGTAAGGTAGCCACCACGAGAGCGAGCTTGCCTCAGCAAAAAACAGTTTACGTTGGATATAGCCAGTTTTAATTGTGCGTCGAACTAATTAGATTATACAAGTCGTCATTGAGACTTCAGCTAAGCTCTAGTTAAGCAAGATACGGGACGAAGCGTCGTAGCAATGGCGTCCAATGAAGCCGCCACGCAGGCTATCTGCGTCTGTCCATTATTTGATGCCCAGTCGCACCAATGACAACATCAGTTTCGAGAACGCCCATGTTTTTCTCCTGTGTACGCAGTTATCCGCCTCGTGGAACCAGATTCAATCTAATTTTGTTTCGTAATCTACCTGATAATTTTGCCTTTTTTCGGACTAGTGTAACAAGTGTAGGCAAGTCAGCAGCTACAGAGAAGCAGCATATGTCATAGTTCTGTCGCTTAGATAGGCCAGGAGCAAGGAACAGTGTCGGCCGTTCTTTCGCTTTTGTGAGATCAGCGCGCGTAAGACGTTATTGCTCAGCGTCGGAAAGCGAAAACGGCATCAAGATGAGATTTTGTACGCAATCACGGCGACAATCTTCTGATGATGTTGAAGCCACCGCTTGATCGGTCATCAATGTTGATGCCTCAGTTTGTGTTGTTCCTTCAGCTGGCGCCATTCTGTATTGATTATCAGTTACGGTCCGTTCGTGTAACGCACTCAACAACAGGTCCATCGGACGGCAGCGGATACAGCATTAAATTGCGAATAAATTGTTAACGCCGCCAAAAACGTAATTATCATTGTCGTTGCTAAAACCAAAAAGGCCGCGGTTCCTGGTCACTCAGTCGACTAGGAAAATGAAGAAAAAGAAACGCCAATAGCGGCAGGTTCAAGACTACTACTGCCACTGCACACAAGCTACTTCTGCTTTTCTGGGACACCGTTTCACGTACACATATAGCATGTCTATATGCGAGTGTGCTCATTACGAAGCCGTTCTCGTCGCCATAATGATGCCGCTTCTGCCACCCATGTAGCTGTCGATGCTTCCGCGCCTGGTCGTTGGCGCACAAGCAACCAAAGGAAATGTCTTCCCGATAGCTTCCATAAGTCACGCGTATGAGTGAGGTTATAAGCGTTCGTCCAGTACTACAGCTGATATAACAATTTCTAATTTTTCTTTTTTCACTTGCCCCAACAACCATATACCTCGCGGCTGAAAGCGAGGCGCGTGACATTAGCAAAGCTTTTGCTTCGAAATAGAAATGATCTTCGAACGGCGGGCGATGTACATTATATGGCCGAAGAGAAATTCATATTTTAATTTATCTTGCTTTCATTCAGTAATGATATCCGCTATAGTTAGAGCGGATTCTACGGATTTTTCATTTATGACGCTTACCTGAAACAATTTTCGGCTAGGAATAGGGAAAAGACTGACATTAGCAGATAATATCCGTTGTCGCATGCCAGAAAGGACGGAGGCTGCCAGCATCGCAATGGTAACCGATAGCGTCACAAGCACCAATGCGGGACCGATATATATTTGTAGCGACCGGCCAACGGAGTAACCGACTCAGGGACCGCCCAAAGGGGTAGACGTGGCAGGGGCGCATGATGGGGCGCACACGACTGCTAGCCGACTATCATCCTGATCCGCTTACTTCTAATAACGAGTTTCTTTCGTTTCGATGCATTGGCTTGTGCCAGCCATCGATAATGAGACGGACGCAGCGGCGGAGGTGGCAGCAGTCGCGTTAGAAAGCGGCTTCAGCTCTGCCGCTTCGTTTCCATCCATTGGATGCGAGGTCGAAAGCTGGCGTGAAACGGATAGAGTAAGGGATAAATCGAACAGAGAGAGAAGAAATATTAATGTATGCGATTAAATTTGATTGTGGTTGTGTTATCGATAAATTACGACTAGTAAACATTCGATTTCTAACCGAAAAACCGCACGGTGAGTGGCGGCTTAGATACATCACGAAACTGTATATTGTTGTACATAGAAAAGTCTAATATTTAGATAATAGGGTTGGAGCCTTAGGAAACGAAACCTTCAAAGATCGGTCGGTAGAGCGGGTCATCCGATTGTGGCAGACATCTATTTGACCTTTACGTATTGAATGAGACCTTTTCAGAATTCTGAAATTCCAACTACGCCTTTTCAGATTACCCATCTGCAAGCAAGGTCTTAGCAACATTTCCTTATCGATCTTAGCGTTAGAGCATCGGCAATTTGTTGGTAGTACTGAGATTTATGCAAGCGGAAAGGTGAGGTTATCAACAACTGACGGCAGATGCATGTACGTATACAAAAAATGCAGTTCAAAGAGAGCGGCCGAAAACGAACACACGAATAGATTTTACAGCTGCTCCCCCTGAAAAATGACTTCACTGCTACGTACCCGTCCAATAATCTGTTCCTACCATCTGATCGAACGTACGGCGAGTCTATGTGAGATGTACACCGGATCAGAATTGCCTGTACACGTATGCATGGCCCACCATTTAACGGAGCTAAATAGTTAATCATCAGTCGGCAAATTAGTTCAAGTCAACGTAATAAACCTGGTGCCAATCCGGTCGGAAGTAACCCTGGCGAATTCCGGTATACTTCATTTCAAGCGGATTCGCTCGTCGCCCGGTATTACAACGAACTTCCCATAACGGACGCTGATTGTGGAAAAGTCGGACTCGTTTAATACATCCAGATTTGCTGTGGCGAGCGGATTGCGGTACCAAATCTGCTTCGGCTGTCGGGGTCGCCACCTGACGTTCTGTTGGAAACGTCGGTGCATCGTCTAATGCTATATCTCACTTTCTCCTGGACGGGCCACCCGCATTACTTGTAGACGGCTTGTTTCAATTCACCCCTCCACAAACTCGCGTTTTGGGAGCACGCGATATTTTTTAGCTGTCACAATAGCTAGCACTAATGCGAGAGCAATATATGTTTCCAACTCGAGAAGTCCCCAATATAATATGAGACTAAAAAGTAATGGCCCAACAATTTCTGCTACTTCAGCCTTATGCTTATTTATGCGTTAGAAATCGATATTGGAATTTGCTAAATATCTTCATTGGATTCCATATTGAAGTTCCGTACAATGCAATAAACCTAGCTCGAATTCTTCATTGTGGGGGTGCATTGCTTCAGATTGTTTGTGACGCCATACTTTTAGTTAGTTATTTTAGTAGAAAAAGCGCTTGCGCTCAATCTACACGATTTCGAAAAAAAAAGTTCTCTATGCTGCATCTGTGGCCTTATACTATTCTACGCTCAATTTTATAATATTCTAACAAACCTTGACTGACGTGGTACACGTATAATACGTTTTATGATTATAGTGTCTTATTCCTCCGCTATTTGCCTAATCGTTTGTAATTTCTTCTGCGCTAAATTGATCTAAAGCCGAAATCGACACGTTCGCTCTGTCGTAATACGACTGTTATTGTACTTCGCTGTCTATCCACTGGTGAGCAAGAATTGTATGTTTACCGGCCACGCCCATACATAGGTGCCTGTTTACGCCAGAAGTTTAAATGGATACATAGGTAACGAGTTATATGAAAAAATTAATGGCACATTTGCACTATAATTGGAAATACTGCAAAACAGGATATGTAGCGGATCGCAGTCGGTCATGCCCAGTTCAGGCCACAATAAATACGGCCCCCACAAGACAAACATCTGTTCATCTAAACACGTTGGTTATCCACTAATTATTTCTCTTTAGAATGGCGTGCCGGTTCCTAACATCAATCATACTAACGAGTAGAGTCGTATGAAATTTGAATTCTAGACAAGTGATATCCAGCTATTAGTGGGCTATGGGTAACCGAGCAAGTATATAGGTGCACTCACTCATTCATCCAGATATATATTCGCGGTCCCTGTTCATTCCGCGGTGAATAGGGCGACCCGGCCTTCACCTGTGCTCTGGTTAGCCTTCGCTGGAACTGTGAGCCATTGGAATAGAGTACACAACGCGTATTCAAGTCACTGGGACAGTCAAGAAACGTAATGGTGCGTTGTCGAAGAGGAAAAATCTTCTGCGCATCATGCCGATACGGATTTCGTCAAGTGCGACATCATTCCAGACGTTGCTGCCTGTACTGATGAATACTCTGGCGCGACCGGATGAAGAAATCATCAAGAAATACCTGACACCTCCTGTTGCCGGTTATTTTTCAGTCCCCTCTTCTTTCTACCATTATTACTATTATTATTATTGCTGTTATATTATTGCAATGTTCGTCAGAGGACTTGCTGGTTGATTTTTCGTGCAATGACCGGACCAATAACATGACCCCATTAACCAGACAGTCTATGAGAGTGTATGTTCTATAAAAAAACGCTTTGTTTATCATAAGAAAAATGAGTATTGCCACTTGTAGCTTCATTTGACTGCAGGCAAAAACTAGGCGGTTTACAACAGTGAGCTTATGTAGTTATACGTCTTAAGCTAATAGATCTACAGGAGAAGCTCAAGCTTTGGTATGGCTGAAACGTGGATAGTAATTGTCTGCAATGATTGTCCCTGTCGGGATCACATGGTATGAAAGCAGTAACGCTAACAGCTTGTCCAGAATCATCTGTTCTAGAAAACGGATTATTTTTGCTTGAGTAACCGCTTTCCATTAATGAGCGCTAAGAGTGATCACCGCGATAAACCGGGAGTGGGCAAAGGCGGCGAATGTTTAGAGAACAAAGGAACGCTTCGCTTAAACGAGGTCACGCAGTTCTTCACGTACTGTATTAGCTCAATCGACGGGCGTTCAATATGCAACCAGGTTGACGTGATGAACATTAGCCGAAATATGGCCTAGCGCTGAAAGCTAGCTTCATACGACGAGAATCATAAAGACTACCCAACTTGATGCTGTTCAGATTTGACTGTATAAACAACAAGAGATTCATATGATGATGGCGCTTTTCACTAACGAACTCAAATAAGCAAATTGTCAATAGATAAAAATTACTGGCCGAATAGGCCGCTCGACTGTTGGGCAAAACATCTCTTATGATGTATTGTTATGTAATGATGGAAGGGACATCTTGTACAACACTTTATATAATATTTAACTACTATGTTATCTTGACAATAATTTTTAGCTGCTTAAAATGCTGGCGTAGAATAAACTATCAAATACGCAAGATGAGATATTAGATGATAAGTGAATATCCTACTGAGGATGAAATAAGTTTTTGTCTTCCCTCGACTTTGAGACGAAACATGTATTCCTAAAGTATATTTATTTACTTTAACTCCAATTTAGTTAATAATCTAAATAAATATAGGTTAAAAACACAATGTGCCAACATTAGAGTGAGTATATAGGACTTTTTACTAAAAGAGAGATAAGGACTCATTTAATTTTACCGAAGCCTTCTAATATCGACATTATATTCGGGCTACGTTTTGGGCTCAGATATGAACTTTTTAGGAAAGTTTGATACGAGCTTTTTTCCTCCTCAGTCATACGATTCGTATACATATGATCTTTGATTGCCCTCACGTTGTCCTACCGTTTTTGAGCTCGGCCGAGTTCGGCCCCTCACGGACGTTAAGGCCACTCTGCATTCTGGTCCATGGGCACAACATGCACAGCCATCGGCAGGGAATACTCCCTTTGGCCGGCAGCGCCTCCCTCTTTAGTGGTCGGCTCGTCTTTAGCAGGGGGTTATTTTTTGTACTTTTCTCTTCTTGCCCACATAAGTCCTCTGTAGCGCTTCCACCCCAGTCCCGCGTGTTATTTCTCTTCCTGCTTTCTGTTTCTTTCTACATATGTCCTTGGTCCGCCATCTTCTTTTTCACTGTCGATTTTTAGGAATCATTTTTAGAGCTGGCGGGCGACAAACGCACGGGCGGGTGGCGGCTGACAAACCAATGCTTCGCTTCTCGTTGTCGTTGAAACTACTGTTGGTAAACGGAATCGTTCCTGCCATGACTTGCCTAGCTTCAGCGTTCCATTACCCGACGAGACCCTGGCAGGGGCTTGGCCTTTTTCTCCCATTCTGCTCCCTTATGTCCCGTAGGAGAACATAAGATTCACCCTGGTGGCAATTCTTTAACATGCAGACACACAAGCTTACAGCCTACGATTAGACTAACCACCATACCCGTATAACAGCACCCGGTGGAATAGATGGATAGACGACCAAGACGTTTGTCTAAGCGGGTTTGAGTGACGGGATGTTTCTTACCATTGCGGCTGCTGCCGCTACTACCAGTCGTTGCGATATTATTGCTCTCATCGGCGTAGTTAATATTATCATAATTGTTAGCAGTACCGGCTCACGCATCATTGTGTTCAATGTTCGACGGGATAACACTAAACGGAGGAGTTTCTTTTAGTAACGCCCGGCAAGTGATGACTTTTCGCGAGGGCGGACCTCCGCCCGTTTTCTCACGTCGTCATGCACAGCTGGCCGAAGGAAATTTAAAGTGATGGGTTAAGACCGAACAAAAGGATGGTTTGGCATATAGTGGCGTCAGGCAGCGGTAATAGGTAATCAAGAAGGCAGTTAAAAAAAAAACAATGGTAAATACAGCAACGGCGCAAGCATCAGCGTTGAGTTTCCGTCCTTATTGTCGTCAAAGGCCACGAACGTCAAACGCTCCACTTATTCCCATACCATGCCATCGGCATCACTAGTCATCACTGTCGCGAGCACTACTAGATGCTACTGCCGCTACAAAGATACTCCGTACGTTCGAGAAGACACTTTGCGGCTCACGAGGCTTGGTTGCACACAAAGGTGGTGCACACCGGGTGAAATTTCAGTTGATAGCTGGTTAAAACGTAAACGATTGGCTGATGTGGAAAA